GGGGCCGCCCGGCCAGGCTGCTGCTGGGGCGCCCAATGGGACGGGCAGCGTGGCGGCTGCAGGCCCCAGTAGCTGCCTTCCTTTTCTTACGGGGAACACAAGCCCTGTGTGGAAAAACAAATGTTACTGAAAGAGGGCTTCTTTGTTACACTGTATATTTCACTTTCTTCAACACTAAAAATGGTGGTTCTGTTAGAGGAGAAGGAATATCTTTACAAAATGCAGGATAGAAAGAGCTTGTTGGAAGACTGTTGTATTCTTATTTATAATTCTTAGCAAAACACATCTTTCAGTGTGATTTTTACCTCAGAAAAAACAAGTTAGAGGTTCATTTTTTTTCTATTAATACACACATTTGCAGTTGCACTGCCCTTTTGCAGGTTTATAAGCTTCCCAGCGCCTGACACCAGGCGTAGATTCCTGCATGGAAGGGTCTAAAACACTGAATTGGTATTAAGCTGTGGAACACCTATGCTCCCAGCTATGTGGTGGACAAATAGTGCTATTGCTGCGGTTCCTTTTTTTTTTTTTTTTTTTTTTTTTTAGACTTATCGGTGATGTTTGCAGATAATAAAAGCACCTCCCATAAATATACAGCAAGGGTGCTGTCAACTCTCCCAAAATTACTAACCCTACATCCAAGGCCTCTTCTGTTCCTGAGTTATTGATTTCACCTGAGGCCTGAAAATAATTCTGCTTTTTTCTTTATTTTTTTGCTAAGGACAGGCTAACTCTGAGTTGCAACAGAGACTGCAAATTAAATATAAAAAGAAAAAATGCTTCTAAATCTCTATGATACTTTAACTGGGGGGATGTGTGATGGGAGTGCAACAAGACTCTGCACCACAGGAAAAATGAATGTTTTCCCCTCTGCCTTCAGTGACTTGTTCTGTTTTGCTGCAGGAGCCCTAGACGTGATCTTCACTCTGCAGGGAGACCCCAGCCTGTTTGTGGCTGCAGCTGCCCGGCGGCTCCTGGTGCACACGCTCTCCCTGTCTCTCGAGTGTGAAATGAGTAAAGCTCCTGGCACAAGGGTCTGCGACTGGCCCCTGTGCGCCCAAATGATTATAAAGCACATAGAAGATTCCCTGCAGTCCAGCTCCATCTCCCACATCAAGCAGTCGTTAAAGCTGTTAGCTGGTTTGTTTGGCGGTTGTCACGCTCCCTGGACTGAAGTGCTGTGGTTGAGTGTAGCCAAGCAAGTGGAATCCTTTCTGGTGGAAGAGTCAGTTCAAGCACCGCACCTGCTGGTGGATCTTTTGCTTAACATGTCAAGGTGAAGATCTCTTGGGCACTTGGATGCAGTGATGAGAAATACTTGCTTCCAGTGTGTACATTTGTAGGATACATTATTGATACTTTTTTCTTCCTAGGTCTCCTGTGTTTTGTGACTCTGAAGGCAATTTTTGGGCATTAGTGACATCTGCTCTGGAACATTTAAACCCTGTACAAGCAGGTCCTTTGACAGTGGGAATTCTGAGGCTGCACAAATGGTAGGAGTTGCTGCTATTAATTTTGTGCAGTTTGCAGATGTTTCTGTACTGTTACGTCTGGTGTGTTTCTGAGAGCTGTTTTCTTTCCATTTTCTGTTGCCTTCATTAATACAGGAGACTGGGCATAGTCTCACCAACCATAGTTAGTACATTTTAGACACTAATAGTGGCGTTAGCTATAAGGATACTGTTTTGTTGAGGAAAAAAATACCTTTCTTTAAACCAGCTTTGCACACAAGATCCCACCATCTCTGTTTGCACTGCTTGCTGAGACTGCTTATCACTTTCAGAGCCATTTTTCCTCTGCTCTTGGCTTAGCCAAGGAAGCTTGGAAGAAGACTTGAATCCTGGTGATAGTTGCATTGATCTTCTGACAGTTGCTGGTATGATTAGAAGACTAGGTGGAAATGCTGTTCTGATCAACATCTGGGGGCACATGGTTAGAGCAAGAATTGAAATATTTTTGATTTATTGTTGACTCCTGTTTCCTCCTTTGAAGCCCACAAGATGTGAGGATTCAGGCAGTAACTGTTCTGCTTCAGCCAATGGACTGCATTTTAAGAGCAGCCTCCCAGCCTCTGGAATATTCAGGTACAGTGGTCATAGAAAAGTTAGAGACTATTCTGCTTGACAGGGCCTGTTGGAGAAGAAAGACTGGAAGGAGTCAATGACAGTACCGGTGTTCTCAGTGAAGTTCAGCATCCTGCAGATTGATGAGAATTACATTTGAAGAGATACAATTCAAATTAATCACCTGAAACTCTGGATTAGCTTCCATACTTCAAATCACTGTCTTTTGTGCTCATTAATAGCAACCTGAGCTCTCCTCTCCTTTGTTTCTCCAGGTTTGTTGGATGAGTCTGTCACCGATCCTGCGACTGTTGAAAGTCTTCTGTCCTCCAAGTCATCTTGTGCTAGTCTCCTGTGTCAGACTCTTGGTCATCTGGAGAAGCTACTGTCTCTGGTAACATTCAGCAAAAATAAAAACCCAGGGCTGAGACTAGTCTTTGAAGCACAGCATTAAGATCAAATGTAACTTGTGCAGTAGAACTTTACAGAACTTGGAGATGGGTTGAAGTTGGGGGCTTCTGTATAAGAAATCTAGCCCAGTAGGCTCTAGATAAGAGAAAAAAAATACTGAGGCTTGTAAAGAAGAAACGTGTTCAGTTTTCCATCCACCTTCACAAGCTTTGCTACTCATACACTGCTTCTCCTGCAAATACTGATCCCGTGAGAAATGAATTGAACTGATTTCTCAAGGAGTGACAGGAATCTTCTCCCATCTGTGCAATAGTTCTCTGGGAAAAAGGGAGATAATTTGTCGATTAATAAAAATGGGCACATTAGAAATTGCAGTTTTTGCCCAAGTTCTGACAAAGAACTCCTGGTGTGTGTGCACATTTGAGACATTTGTTGGAAACTTTTTTTTTCTTCTTGCATTAGAGTCATTTGCCGGTGGATTTACCCTGTACATCCTTGCTGCGTTCTGTCGTGGCGATACTACAGTTCTGTAACGGCCTCCTAATTCCAGCGTCTCCTCTGGGGAGCAAGATAAGCCAAACTTTGATTGGTTGCTTCAGAGTGCAGAGGGCAGCTCTCGATGTCCTGGCTGTGCTCTCAGAGCGGAAGGGTGAGTTATATTTGTGTTTTATTTTTTTTTAAATTTTTGGAAATGCTTGACCATTATGTAATTGCAGAATTTTCCATTCTACCTCTTCACTGATGTCTCTGAGCAAATACTACCGTTTCTTTTTCTGAAATTTGTTCATTTTTCAGTTTCTTTTGTGATGTTGGTTAGCCTTAATTTCTGTTGATAAGCTAGGGCAGGTAATGCTGCAATTAAAAAAGTTTTACTTAATGATTTTGAGAAGTTGGAGCTTTTTCCCTTGCTTTCAGACTGTATTTGCATTTTTCTCCAAAAGGCAGTCTTATAATCTTGTATCTTTCAGTACAAGAATTGAGGTTTTTCCTTTCTCTTGCTGTCAGACCTTTAGCTGTCAGTTTTCTGTGTTTCAGGGTGTGACATACCTGTAGAGAGCTTTTTTGACGTCCTTTTGTCATACCTGGAGAGTCCAAACACAAATCCTGTGGTAAGTGGAGGAGTTTGGATACAGTCAAGCTTGTTCTCCTAACGTAGTTCTAAGAAACAGTCTGACTGCAGTTGCTTCTTAACAGAGTTTGTCTCAATATGTAGGAGGTTTACTTGGGTTTTGGGTGCCTTCCAGGTAATGGCTAAATTGGGCAGATTAGTAACTGGATACTTTTGAAATATGGGAACCATCACATCTAGGAGTAATGGCAACTTGCTAAACCTGACATGACTTAAGGATCCAGTTGTTGGTGCTAGAGTTTTTGTTTGTTTTGTCAGATTCGCTCAGAAGACCCCTGCAAATCAAAACATGGAGAAACCAGTTGTTTATGTTCCTCACTTGAGAAAAGCCACGTTCTTGAGCTTGTTAGAAATACTATATAGGGACCATTGTTCTGTAGCTTCCTTAATAAGGATAGATATTTGTTTTTCCGGGGAATTCCTTTGTAGTTGGAGGATAAAAAAAAAAAAATCTACTAGTGTAAAGGCAAAAAAAAAAAAAAAGTGCTTGCTTCTGTATTAAACTAGATCTGCCTTATGTTGTCCCAGGTTCTGAAAAAATCATTTCAAGCTACATCCAAATGGCTGGTGCGCTTACCTGAAATGTCCTGCTTCAACAGCCAGTGGCAAATCACAAAGATTCTGCAAGGTAACAAAACTCTTCCATTTGGGACAAAGAACAGCAGGCAGCATATATGAAATCTGCTCTTACCTGTCTTTCCCACTCAGCTCACCACTCACCTCTCTGCAATTTCTTGGAGTGTACTTTAGCAATCCCCTGTAGGGGATGCATACAGCAGCAAAAGAAGGGCTTGCCTCTGATGAAGTGATGTAGAGGCTGTACAGTGAGTGCTCTGGTAAGGCTCGTTACTTTTTGTGTCCATCCAAGCCTGTCGCTTGTCTTTGACAGATGTATTCCTGGTGCTGCAGAAGCGTTTGTGCAGTCCTTGCTGGGAAGTACGAGATTCCTCTCTGGAGTTCCTCACCATCTTGATTAACGGCTTGAGAGGTGCGTGTAAAGATATGATGGTTCAGATTGGAGGAGTATTTCTTTTAATGCTGTAAAAGTCATTGAGGCCTGTGAAGCATCCTCAATGTGTAGAGATTAGAGAGGAAAAAAACTTGTCAGATGCTGATCAAAATCTTCCAAAAGATTAGTAACCTGCTTTCCTGTTCAACTCAGATTTGTGTCTTCCTCAAGGAGGGTTTTAGTGAAGTAAACTGAGATAGGTTGAGATTTTCTTCAGCATATGTCTAAGCAGGTGTCAGTCCTTAATGCAGTGGAATCCATTCGGTTCCACTGAACAAGCTGGGGCCTGGGATTTAAGAGGTGCTATGCTCCAGATTTTCTTTACATGCTTTGGATTAATTATCAATTTTCTACTTTTCCTCGATGCTGAAGCATTGCAGCAGGTAACATTAAGGCTGCATCAGTTTTTCCACAGTATCTCTGCTGTGCTGGAAGAAAGGAGGATGTTGTCTACTACTGTTGTCTCCGGGTCAGAAAGGAGATATCCAGCACTCATCCATGTTAGCAGTTCACCCCAGTGACCCTCTCAGTGGTTCTCAGTAAATGTTTCAGCTACATCTAGTTTGCTTTGCCAGAGTCCTGAGAACAAGAAGATTTTTTTTTTGTCCTTTACACAAAATCACTGATTTGAGGGACATGCTTGCAGTCCATGCTTGCCCAAAGGAAGGGTTTTCTTGCCCCTAGAATAACTGCAAATAGACTTTTTTTTTTTCCCCGAGCTTCACTGTTTAGGCCTTCACTGGAAGTCACCAAGCTGCTACAAAATGAGGAGTCTGACACAGAGCATCTGTGCTCCTCGAGCAGCCGCCTGCTCTCTGCAGCAGCCCAGCTCACTGGCAGCTGTCCCTGCAGGCAGTGAGCGTCCTTGTCTGACACAGAGGATTGGTTGCATTGGAAACAGCCTCAAGCTCCGAGAGAATAAACGTCACTTCTTTGGATTGCTATCTTTTTTTGCAGACCAGGATGGGTTCAGGCAGACTCTCTTCTCTTCGGAGGTGCCGAGACTTACAGAAGATCTTCTTGAGGACCCAGAGAGTTATGTTCGAGCAAGTGCCGTGACTGCTGCAGGACACTTGGCTTACATTGCTCCGGAGTCATCTGTCGCAGGAAATCAATACAATAAGGAGGTATGATAACTTTTTTGTTGCCCACACCAGCAGAATCAAGCAAAACTACACTTCAATTTGCTGTTATTATTATTTATAACTTTCTTGAAGTCATCTGCAGTCAGATTTCACAGCCACTTAAATAAGATGCTACAGCAGTGACAAGGGACTGGAGATTTTACATATACTAATCTTGTTTCTTTACTTGTTTTTCCTTTTTTGTATTTTCTCTTTGTCTTCTTGTATTTAGAACACTGTAGCAAAGCTTCAGGAAATCTTCTCTACCGATCCAGAGGGCTTTCCTAGGAGGGCTGTGATCAGCATCTTCATCAAGTGGCTGAAGAAAGGTTACACAGCTCTACTGCAGGACACAGAGCAGTTTGTCTCTAAAGTGATCCAGACTGCAGAGAGAGACTTTGACTGGGAAGTCAGACTTGGAGGTTTGGAGCTGGTTGAAGTTTTCTTTGTCCAGACACTTTGCCGACTTGGCCGTCCTAAATGCCACTATGCCCCTTTCTCACCCGAGTTCACTAGTTCCGTTCGTCACAATGAGTCGCTGCAGATATTTTGCCGAACGAAACTGTTTGGCTTTTTGTTTTGCTCTTTGTGCGACTGTGACAGGCCCGTGGGTCAGAAAGCCTGTGATATACTGCTTGCCATAAGATCCAGTTTTTATACAAGTAACTCCCTCAAGGATTCTCTAGACCCTGAAGAAGTAGGACATGGCATTGGCTGGTTACAGAGGACACTAAGGCAGGGATCTCTGGCCCAGAACTTCCCCACAGGCAGCAGTCAGGAGGTTGACTTCCAAGATCCAGAGAGCATGCTCCTGGCTTTGGGAACAATAGACCTGGAAGAGCTGCACGATGATCTAAACAAAAGTAGTGACCATGTGGAGAAAAGCCCTCAGTCGCTCTTAGAGGACATCCTTGCTACTGTGGGGGCCATAGAGGAGAACGAAGCTGACTGCTACTAAAGCCATCTTCTGCTTCGAGGGAACAGTGCTTCAAGCCATTTTCCTTTGGAGAAGGATTTTTGCTAACTGTGAAGTCTTTCTTGAGAGAGTCTCCAAAGAAGGGCTGCCCTATTTAAAGAAAAAGTGTTTTGTTATTTGTTAAATGGGTTGGACAATCTTTGATTTAAAACTGATGAAAACTTTCTGATAAAATGTAGTTTATAATTAACTGAGCTGGTTTTCAAAGTAAATATATTAAGAAATTCATTTGTTTGCCTGAAATTTGTACATCATTTAGGGAAGCATTAGTTCTTGCCTCCAGGAAGAAACATCATATCTTTTTAAACAGAAACAAGCAACTGAAAACAAATCATTGTGTGGCCCTTTTAAAGCCAGGGTAGCCAAACCTTTTCAAGACTGGCTTTAAAAGGCATTGTTATTACCCTGTCCATATCCTTATTCTAAACCCAGAGTTCTCAAGTTCCCTGTTGCATTTGGAGCAGAAGGCAGCATTCAAGGAATTACAAGTGTACTGGTTTTAAAACTTGTCTTCCACAGGTAAATAATGCTAACACACAAGTCTGTCAGCTTTCTAGTGTCATCACAGAGATCAAAGCTCTTAGTTTATGCTTTTTAAATTTCAGTCAGGAGCAAGTCTCAAGTTGTTGGCCTTTGTTCTTGATTCCTAAAGAACTAGAATATCTCCTAACTGCTAAAAGAGACCTTGACACCTGCAGCCGTTTCATGATAAAAATCATTTATCCTCTTTTAGCTTAATACAAAGGCAGGAACAACACTCAGTTTAGCCTAATGGAGGCTGTAGTATTTAATGCAGCTGAGATGCTTGCTCCTAAAATCTCAGCCTTCAGTTTTATCCCTGCAGCAGTGCACAGGGTTAGATATAGTTAAAGTGTCCTACTGCTGAGGCTGGAGGTTCACTCTGTGCCTTTTCATGAAGTCAGCACACTTGTCTGTCACTCTGGAGACAGTTTTATATATGACAGAGCCCTTGGGTATTGTAACAGCAGTTGTTCCAGGGAAAAAGTAGCTTCTGCTGCTCATACACATGACAGAAGACACGAAAAAAAGCTCAGGCCTTTTCCTGACCCTGCAATTTCCTCTGAACTTGGGAGGGTTAATAAAGGAGAAGGGAACCACTTCTCAAGTAGTGTGGATTGTTTGTGGAGGTCGATCAATCCTGATGAAGGGGCTAAAATTCCCAAACTAATATTGCATCTTGGCAACAGAGCAGATGCACTCCAGGAAAGCAGATAAGCAGGTTGCTGAGGGGGATTTATTCTTCCTTTCAGCAGTAGAATTCTTGACATTTCAAGGTTGCTCACTTTTAGAGATTCCAAGGAATTATTCAAATAGGAGCAAATTGGACAAACTGCATATCACAGAGAGGAGAAGCCACTGCATGTTAGGAAGGGCTCTTGACTCTCAGTCCTGTTTGCATTTACTGTAATTTTCCCTAATTTATAGAGGCTGGAATGACCGTGACACGATACAGGTTGTCCACTTGAACTCCACAGTCCTTTTTATAGACAGAAGGGCTTGCACCAATAAAAGTAAAGTTGTATAACTAAAGGGCCAAACTAGGATCGCTCATCATCTTTGCAAGAAGAATTAAGGGTGTCTTTCATTGAAAAGAGGTCTCCAAATCCAGCAATTAAACAACTCGGTGCTGATTTTGCACTGTCCTTCCTCCTGATCTCACTACATTTCCTTGCTTTATGGCTTCTCTGTTTCTCTAGTTACAGCAGCAAGTCTTGTTAGTCCTGATGCTGGGGCTGACATCCTGCACCTGCTAATGAGGAGAAAGCTGAAGCATTACCAACATCTGAGCAGAGCGAGCAAACAGCTGAAGAGCCAAGTGACAGCAAATAGAGAGATCAAGCAAGACAAGAAAAATCTGTTGCTTCTTTCTGCAGAAAAAAAAAAAAACATATTTCTAAGCCCAAAGTTTAGCCACCCAATTTGTAAACAAGCACCAAATGGCTACCAATGAAATACCTTACTATCTTGTCCTTAGATGAGCAAGTCTAAGAGAAATCAGGACTAGATTTCAGTGAGAGAAAGAGAGAGAACTAGTAGGATTTGCATTCAAGTACATGTTTTTCAAGACAATACGAGAATAGCCTACTGCATATTTAACTGCAAAAAAAGCTTACCTTTTCAGTTCTCTCTATAATCATCTCTCCTAGACTTGGTACAGCCCTGGGGAAGTGTTACTAAGCTAATGGTCTGATTTCACATTCAGGTGCATTTACTCTGCTCTGGAGTGACACCTACTCTAGGTCTCCCATCTTTTTATCATGTTAAGAAATCATGTGCAAGCCCTTACCCCACTTACAATAGTAACTCCTTTGCAAATTACTGAAGCAATTCTTTTGCCTCTCCGTAAGATCCTTATCCCAGGCACACAGCTTTCTTCAGGGTTAGGAATTTATGCTGTTTGGTAATTCTTCCTAAGTATTTGTGATCATCATGCGCCAAAAGGAAAAAGGAGCCTTATTCACAGCCCTGCAGAACAGACTTGTTACTCCAAACACGTCCTGGCATTTGGGACTACACGTACTGAGCATTAAGTTCAGCAACTCCTCTTGCTACTCACCATTCCACACTGTTAAAACAACAGTTCCTCCATGACCCGTACACCCCCAGCACACAACCATCACACACCGAGGCGGGAGCGGGGGTCTGCCAGGCATTCAGCTATGGAAAAGGCTGAAGTTGCCAGTTCCCTTTCTGGGATGAGTTTCTGTGGAAACTGCTGCTCATGCAGCCTTACAACAGTAGCCGACCAATTCCTGCTGGAGACAGGCACCGCAGAGGGGGTTTCTGTACACACGCGACAGATGATTTAACCAAAGCCCATGGCCTTCACTGTGATTTATCTTAGTAGGAACACGAGCAGGATCAACACAGAACATCAGACTAGAAAAAAAAAATCCAGGTCTCCAGTGGCTGACACTGTGGAAGAAGAGGATTACAAAGCTCCCAGCCACTCTTTCATCTGGGAAGGGTGCAATGTGGGGTCTGCTGCCGGATCTGAATGCAGGTATGAAATTCCTAAGGCTGCTTCCAGCTCTGCAGAAAGGATTTATCCCTTTACTGCTCAGCCTCAGAGAGCAGCATTGGAAAACAAGCATCTTTGGCTCGGCCCTACACTACTAATGGCTTTATAAAAGCTGCTAGAGGAATGGCTATTCATTTTTTTTTACTTGTTTTAATATGCTAGACATTTAAAAGTTGAAGACTATTCTCTGCCCAATTATAATAATTGCATAACTTAGTCAAAAACAGGCCATAAATGTCTAAGGTTGTTGCTTTAGCGTGGATATATGTGAGCTGTAATCGCAGCTCATCTCATGCATAGCTTTGAAGTCTCTTGTGTCTGTCTCTAGCACACGCTCTCCCTTTCAGGACACATTCATCAAGGTTTTTAAAAGCTACTGTACATGGCAGAGGAAACTCGGCAAGCAGCTTCATGGCAGAAGTTCTCAGCAACTTACAGTGGAAAAATATATCAGCAGTAACACCCTTCTCAGCTGCGTCATTTCCCTCTGCAAGCAGCAGTTTCTGTCCTCTGCTGAGGACCAAAACGCCAGCAAACGCATCCAGACCTCAGCCTGCGTCAGACGCTTCGCTGCGGGCAGCACAGACCTTGCTCATAACCTTGCCAGCCACACACAGAGATGGAAGTGGGACGACCTTCTTCTTTAGAAGGGCTGTGTCTGTGCAGAACAAGAAGGGAATAAAGCCAAGGATGGAGAACTCCAATGGAGGCGTTAAGGCCACTTGTTACAGATGTGTGTGCTGCTTGTTGAGGACGCACTTATCCTCAGCTGGAAAGGGAGATAAACAGCCCGGCTGAGTCCCTGCAATACCAGCAGTGCAGTCACACAGCTCTGCTGTTCAAAGCTAACCTGAAGAAAACCTAATTTCAGACCATCAGTAACAGCAATAGCAAATCTCTGCTTCGAGTGCAGCAGCTCAAAGGAATGTATTTACCATAAACATAAGGGCAGGGAAGATGCCTTTCACATGACGCTCCATCACACGGCTGCCTCCAAAACAAACCTGTGCAGAGTGAGCTGCTCCCCAGCTCATCCTGCAGATACAGGGTTGCTTCTCCATGCAAAGGCAGCAACGTGCAGCTTGGGACAGCGCATAGGACCGCTCCTTAGGGATGTTCCTCGGTTAGGTCAGTTCTGGGGAGAGGGGAGGTAAAGTGGCCTTTAGTAGTTTCTGTGAAGTGTCAGGTCCTGAACTGTGCAGAACTGCCCTTTTCCAGCCCTAGCTTCAGTGC